AAGGTGCTGTGGGATCTGCGGCTGAAGCGGTGGGAGCCGGAGTCGGTTCCCCCAGCCCCCACCTCCCAGCACCGCCTCTCCCGGGTCTCCCGGTCCTGCTCCCTGCTAATACCCACCTCTGATCCATGATTCCTCTTCATCACCCCCAAATCAGGGGTGCGTGGAGGGCTGACCCTGGGAGCCAGGAAGACCTCAGACCCTGGAGCCCCCAGGCCCAATTTCCCAGCTGCTTGCCCCTCAGATTGGATGCTTGGCCCCCAGATTTGGGGGAGGCACCCCGACATTTATCTTCCTGATCTCGATTCCAAGCCAGTCTGTGACCTCAATATTGTTATCTGTGCAGGCTGCAGTGGTGGGGGAGGATGGGGGCCAAAGACCCAGCCTTGTCATTGGGGAGGGGGCATGAGATATTCGCTCCAAGAAATGTCTGTGACAAAGTCTCAGCCTGTGTCCTTTATTTGCACTGATGCACCCCATTCACTCACCTTCCTGAACCACCAAGCCAGGCCCCTACCCAGTTCATTCTTCTCCAATTCCTTTAATTCCAGGCAGCCCCTCCAGCTGAGTTTTACACATTCAGTCGCTCAAGTACATTTATGGAACACCTGTTATACGCCAGGCCCTGTTCTAGGCACTGAGGATAAAGCAGTGAACAGAACAGACAAAAATCCTTTCCCACAAGAACCTTACAGTGAAGGAGACAGTAAATGACATGTTAGAAATGATGTGTACTGTAGAGAAAGATAAAGCGGAGATGGGGGTACAGTCATTTTTTACCCAGGGTGGTCAGGGATGCCTCAGTGAGGAGCTGGCATTTGAGCAAAGCCTTGAAGGAGGTGAGGGAGTCCTGTGGATGTCTGCAGGAAGAACATTCTAGGCAAAGGGGAACTGTCCCCTGCAAGGCCCCGAGGGAGGAGCATGTCTGGGAAGTCTGAGGGACATCAAGGGAGTGAGTTTCTGGAGGGGAGGAAGCAAGGAGGAAGGTACTTCAGGGATGGGTGCAGAGGTGACAGGGCAGATCTGTGGGTCCTTGCAAAGCCATCGCATGGACTTTGGTGTTCACCCTGAGTGTGATGGCGATACAGGAAGGCTCCAAGCATGGGAGGGATGTGACCTGACTCAGGTGTTTACACGTTCCCTCTGGCTGCCTGCGAGGAAGACACTGGGAGTGGGTGGGCAGGGAGATGCAGAGGAGGTGGCTGTGATGGCCCAGGGGGAGACAATGGTACACAAGATCTGGTAAGAACAGAGGAGGCAGCGAGAAGTGGGCAAGATAATGGAGCTATTCTGAAGACAGACTCCACCAATTTAAAGAGTTTGCAAAAAAGAAAGGAATCAAGGCTGTGATTCCAAGGTTCCGACTTGAGCAATCTTTAATATTTTATTTAAGCCAACAAATGGGCCTGAGTACCCAGCCTCGGAGCAGGCAGGAGCAGGGAGGATTGTGTTATAATTTTAACAACAGCAACAAAAACAGTAGCAGTCTTAATAGTAGCACTAGGTGAAGGGAATAAAAGCAAGGACTTTGGAATCGGGTCTGAATTTGAGTCCTGGCACCACCACACATTCTGACTTACCCTCTCTGAACCTCGGGTTTCTCCTCCCTGAAATGGATCTGAGATGGTTTAGTAGCACACACACAATATTCAATATATGTTAGTTATTGAGTATCCCTGTATGTCTAGTAGACATTTCCGCACCGGACTCTCATTATGACGACTCTAAGAGGTAAGTTTTATCATTATACGCATAGGAAGCAATTGGGCAGGGAGCCACAGGTGGTGAGTGGTGGAGTCAAGCCCTAACCCTAACCCAGGGTGCAGTCTCTTAATCACGCGGTAATTGCACCTGCTTCCTCTCCAACTGCACCCCTAGGGAGCCAGAGGGGTGAGGGCCCAACTCCAAATTGTGATCGATGAGGAAGAGGGCGTGTGTGAGGGGGTGGGCCGGGCTTCCTGAGTCCCTGACATAATTCCAACCCTCAGTTGGAACGGTGGAAACCAGTTTCTGCATTTGGAGCGGGGTTGGGAGGACAACACTGGGTCTAGGGTGCTTCAAGAGCAGAGGGCATCTGAGGAAGGCTGAGAAAAAGAAAACCGGTCTCTAAGTTGCAGCAATAGCGACACCCGCTGGCCTGTCGCGACAGCTGGGATCCTGAACGCACGCGTGGGATTCAGAGCTGGGGGGTTTCCACAGTCCTGACTGGGTAACCCGAAGGGCGGCGCTCTAGGTCTCCGCACCCGCAGGTCTGGGGGCGGGCCCTACCGCGTCCTGCACCAATCGGAACGCCCAATGCCCTTAGGGGCTGGATTGGACGGAGCCGCAGTTGGGCGCCGGGCGCGCACGCTTCTCCTGGGGCGGGGCCTCCCTCCGGCCGGCAGGGGGCGCGCGCCTGGCGAAGAGGCGACGCTTTCATGGAGGGGGCGGAGGCGGAAGCGCGGGAGGGGGCCGCTGTGGCCCGGGACCTGCAGGCATTAGGGTAAGGGGAGCGGGGTGTGGTTGGGGGTGCAGGAAGGGACAGGTTTGCCCTCGGAAATTCCTACTGACCTCCCCACCCCCTCCCGCTGCCTCGGCCCCGCCACAGGTATGAGGGTTTCTCGGGGGCGACGTCGCTGGGCACTTCGTGTCCAGATTTCAGGGCGCTGTGCGCGCGGCTGGCGGCGGAGCTGGCCACTCTGGGCGCCCTGCAGCGGGAGCAGGAGGAGAGCGCGGAGGTGCTGAGGGCCGGCGACGGTACGTGTGCAGCGGGAGGCCCCGAGGGGTGGGGCCGCGAGGCCGCCGCCGCGCCCTGACGTGTCCCGTCTCCTGCAGACCCCGGCGCGGAGGAGGAATTCCTGCGACAGTTGGCCGACCTGCTGCGGGAGTTGCATTGCCCGGACCGCGCGCTCTGCGGCGGAGACCGCGCAGCCGCGCTGCGGGAGCCCGGCGCGTGCCTGCGCCTGCTGCGTGAGCCGGGGGCTGACCCGGGATGCGGAAGTGGGCGAGGCTACAGCACCTAGAGGGGCGGGCTCAGCACATTGGGGTGGAGCCAGGGTCCCCTCCCCCTCGGGGGCGTGGTCAGAATTGAGGTGGACGAAAGGGTTGGAGGTGGAGGTGGGTGGAGTTTTGGTGGAGTTTTGACGGGAACGCCTTGAAGTTCGAGTGGGTTGGGTTTGCTGCAGCCGGCCAGGTGTTTCCGATGTGGGCCGGGTTCGAAGCCCGAGCAGGGGACTGGGTCTCGAAGTGGGTGGAGCTTATCCTGGACGTTGAGCCTGGGTGCTAGGTGGGTGGAACTAGAAGGCCAGAGTATTTTGAAGCAAATGGAACTTTTTGACCCCGGTAGGTGGGGTGGCAGCCCTCCTTGATTGCACCGCGCTTTTTTCCCTTCTTTTAGGCTTTCTCTGCTCGGAGCTCCAGGCTGCCCGCCTCCTCCGTCTGTACCCGCGGCTGGATCCCAGCCCCGCACCGCCCTGTGGGGAAGGGGCAGAGGAGGGAGCTGACGTGGTCCAGGACCTGGTCCTTACCTTCCAAGCTCTGGGGCTGCCCAGACCTACGCCTGGGACCGCCGCCAGCCGGCAGCTGTGGGAGATGCATGACAAGGTAGGGAGCTGGGGCTTCCGCACCGGGGCCACCCCACTTTCCTTGTAGTGGGGGCGCTTTCTCCAAAAGCGCAGGAAGTGCCCCAGCCACGGGGATGTTTTTCGAGAGCAGTGACCACCATTCTTGAACCCGACGCCTGGGTCCTCAGGGCCATGGGGAACTGGAATCCACGGAGAGTACGTCTGGTTTCTGCCTAGTCAACCTCAGACTCCTCCTTCTCCCATCAGATCGCGGAGCTGCTGCCTTCCCTGCCTCCGGGATTCCTGCAGCCCCTCCTCAGCCACCCGCTGGACGCACCCCGATGGGTAAGACTGTGTATGGCTGTGTGCCAACAGCGTCCTCACTCGGAGACGAGAGCCAGGGGGACCCCTGGTGTGACTGGGACCTTTTTCCCAGGAGGCATTGGAGTCTTTGTGCCAACGGCTGAGAGATCAGTACTCCTGCCGCCGCCGCCTGCTTCTCAAGCGCCTGGACCTCACAACATCTGCTTTCCACTGGAGTGATCGGGCAGAGGTGTGGCCACAGGGCCTTGGCCGGAGCAGGGAGGCCCAGTCGTGGGGGCTATCACTACTGGGAGGAGGAAAAACCCTTATAGCGGGTTTTTAGATTCTTGTAAGGTCCGGGGCTCTAGAATGTTAGGGCCTCCAGGGCATTGTAGAATCTAGAGGCCCAGGACATTCTAGAATTCCCAGCTCCGAGCTGGCAGGGTCTTCAGGAACTACACATAGCTCTTGTTTAGAGATGCGGGAGGTGAGACCATAAGCGGAGAAAGAGATGCTTCCAAGATGACTGATCCCACCTGGGGCGGGCTCTTGGGCACCTTCTCCATGCCCTCCCCTCCCCAGGCCCAAGGAGAAGCCATGAAGGCAGTGCTGATCCCTATTCGAGAGGCTCTGACCCCAGAATCAGATGTCTCCATCGCACATGTCCTGGCTGCCCTAGCGGACCTGTCTCGTCTCGTCCCAGCCACCAGCAAGGCTGCCCGCAGAGGGACCTGCTGTGCCATCAACAAGGTGGGAGTAGGGAAGGGCCCCAGCATCCTTGGCCTTCACACTTGGCTCTCTGGTCGCCTTGCTCATTTTTCTTCCCCGAAACTCAAGTCTGATCAACTCTCAGGTGCTGATGGGCAACGTGCCGGACCGAGGGGGCCGTCCAAATGAGCTGGAGGCCCCCATGCCCTCCTGGCAGAGCAGAAGGGAGGATGGAGGCGGACGGAAGGCAGGCCGCCAGAGCTGGGGTCGCAAGAAGAAGAAGAAGTAAAGGGGAACCGGTGGTTGGGTGGGGGGGGGGGTCCTCTCTGCCAGTCCTTGCGGAGTCGCTTGGAGAGCTTCTCTTGGCATCTGGCTCCCAGGCCCCACATCCCCTGTTCCTAAGGTCCCAGATGTCCTTCCCCCACCCGCCGCTCAACAAGAACCACGTTCTCTGGAAAATAAATTTAATTTATGACAGCTGTCAGGCCTGTCTCTGTGGGGTGGGCCGGGAGTGCTCAGGTTTGAGAAGGGGTAGGGGTGTCTGTGTCCATTGGGTCTCAACAGGCCCCGTTGCTCTGACCCTCATAGTCCTTTGGTCTTTCGCAGCACATCGTTCCCTTCCTGCGGGCATGGGGAAGGAGACGTGCGGGCATTGGACAAACAGTTCTGAGGTGCCCACCATGTGCCAGCCCCGTTCTAGGCACCAGGAATACAGCAGCGAAAAGTACAGATTATAAAAAGCCCTGCTGTCCCAGAGTTGTCATTTCTGGCAAAGAGGAGCAGACATTCAACAAGACAAACAGGCAAAAACGTATCGTTTGTCAGAAGGGTAAAGGACTTTGGGAAAAAACAAAGCAGGAAGGCATGAGCAGGACTGGGGGTGGATTGCAACTTCGAGTATGGTCAGAGGGGCCCTCACTGAGAAGGTGGCGTTCGAGCTAAGTCCCAAAGAGGGAGCCCCCATGTGGGCCTCTGGAAGAGCATTCTAGGCAGAAGGAACGGCCAGTGCAAAGGCCCTGAGGTAGGAGTATTTTTGGCACGTTCAGGGACCCTAGGGTTCAGTGTAGCTGAAGCAGGGTGAGTAAGGGGTTGAGTGGTGGTCGGTGAGGTCAGAGAGGTGATGGAAGCAGATTGTGGGAGGTTGGCCACAGTGAGGACTCAGGCTTTCCCCCTGAGTGAGACGGAGGCATGGAAGGGCTCTGAGCAGGGGAGGGACTCAGGTGTTCACAGGCTCCTGTCGCATATCTATGGTAGCTTCTCTCCTGTCTCTGGAGCCCCAGAGTTAGGAACTCTGCCCAGCCTGTCACCTCCCATCCTGACCCGTGCTGTCAGCGTAGCATATCGGTAAGGAGCTTCCGTTTTGGAGGCAGACAGAAGACCAGTGTTTGAGTCCTGCCTCCAACACTTAGGAGCTCTGCCACCGTGGAGGGCAGCTTAACCTCCCTGGGCCTCAGTTTCCCCATCTGTAAAATGGAGATGTAAGGACTCGGTGAGATGACACTTAAGTCTAAACATATCCACCATGAAGCCGCACAGACACTAAGGGCAGGAAACTAGAGTCCATGCTGTAGGCACTCTGCCGCAAGAGAAGAAAACAACTTTCGGAGTAAGAGATGACGAACTCTTCGCCGAAGGTGGTGTGGATGCAAAGGAGGCGAGGCCTTTGGCAGTCCTGCCGGAGGAGGCCGACTAAGAGGACTTGGGACTGGCTGTGGGGGAGGTGAGAGAGGTCAGAGCCAAGTGGGGCCTGGGAATTCAGCTTGGAGGACTGGGTGGGCGAGGCCCTCGTTCGAGGGGCACCTGGAAGGAGGAAGACGGTGGGTGATGTCGGGAATGTACAGGGTCTGCCAGACGCTGCGGGGGCGGAGCCTCACCCAGGCTTCTGTCTAGTGGATGGATGAACATTCCCATGGATGTTCTGTTTGGTCTCTCCCTTTGAAGAGTAAAATTTACTCCAGTGACATCAATTATAGCTCCTGATGTATCTGGCCGTATCCTGGCCATTTTCTTGTTTTCTTTTATTCTCAAAATTCTTTTCCTGTTCTACTAGTGGCTAGCCCCTCCTCCCACCCCACCAGATTAAAATTTTTATTTTTCTATCAACATTAGAGGGGCGCCTGGGTGGCCCCGTAGGTTAAGTGTCTGACTTTGGCTCAGGTCATGATCTCGCAGGCTGTGAGTTCAAGCGCCACGTCGGGCTCTGTGCGGACAGCTCAGAGCCTGGAGCCTCCTTCGGGATTCTGTGTCTCCCCCTCTCTCTGCCCCTCCCCCTCCCCCGCTCTGTCTCTGTCTCTGAAAAATTAATAAACCTTAGAAATTAACCAGTGTCTATACTCTCCTGCCCAAGCAATTGAGGACTCTTGCACCTTTTTCCTTTGCTATGCTTTTTCAAATCTGCCTGGGGTCGCCCAAGCAAATGGCCTGGCCTCCCCTGTATCCCGCTGGTGGGGGCGGGGGCAGTCCCTCCTCACCGTCTCCGGTTCCCAGGAAGGGTGTGGGGGCTCTGTCTGAGTCCAAGCATGGCAGAGGTGGTACTTGGTCTCCGGCTCCAGGGATAGTGTGTAGGAGAGGTTGTCCTCAGTGCCTGTGTGTGGGGTGATGGGTGAGGGGGGTGTGGGTACAACGGGAAGGGCTTCGTGATCGTGAACTTAATCCCCATTCACCAGGCCCCCTTCCCAGGACTGCCACACCCTTCCCAGGGTCTTACCACAGCTGGCATGGGGAGCTGGTGTGGGTGGGCCGGGGGCTCCGGGGGGGCTCACATCGCCCTTGGCCCCTGGCCTCTTCTTACACTCCACCTTCACACGGTCTCTGCAGTGTTTGTGGCAGCACAGCCCACAGTCTGGGGCAAGGTCAGCAGTTAGTGGTCAGAGGCCCAGCCTGGACCCCCCCAGTTGCCCAGCCTGTAGGTGCTGGAAGCCCTCCCCACCACGGATGCCTCACTCACCCTGACAGCGGTAGCCTTGCTTGGTGACTCCCCAGAGCTGGGAAGAGAAAGCAGAACTGGTTACCTGGACGAGGGGAGAGGCTGGGGGTGGGGGTGGGGGTGGTCTCTGGAAGTGTGGAAACCACGTGGTTGGGGAAATTCTCAAGGCTAGAGGCTTAAGTGGGGATCTGGGCATTAAAGGGATTTGGAGGTCACTGCAAGTCTGGGGAGTCATCGAGGATATTACAATTAAGTAAAATCTGGAATGAATGAAATGTGAATTCTATAGGCAGGGGTTGGGTCTCTATTACCTGCCTGGCCCCTCTGCCCCCCCCGCCCCCCCCCAGCCCTCAAGTCCAGAACTGCCTGGCACACAGGAGGTACTCGCTAAGTATTTAGCGAATGAAAAATAGGTTTGGAAAAGTAATCAAAGGTATGTGAATTAGTTTTGGTTTGGAGACAGAGAGCTGTCAATTATCCAGAGTTTGAAGATACGTTCAATTCGAAAATTATCCAGCGTTTGAATTATCTGGACCCTAAAGACTTGGATATGGATTCTGTTTGGAGATAAGCTACCCAGGTTTGTAGATTATCTAGAGTTTTAGATATCCATGGTTTGGCAGTGACCCGGGACGGTGATCATCGGAGATCTGGGCATTGTCTAGACTTCAGGTACATCCACTGTCTAGGGGTTACATGGGATGTGAGGCTTATTTGAACCTGGGGGATTTTCTGGAACTTGGGGCCTGTAAGCCTTCCAGGGCAGCCTGTCCTTTTGGAGTTAGGGCTTGGGACTCTTCAGGGGAGATGGGCACGAAGGGCGATAGAGGGGCAGGGTGCTCACGAAGCCGCTGCAGCTGTCACAGAAGGTGGGCTTGCGGAAGGTGACTTCACGGAAGCTGTGCAGGAAGGCCAGGCCCAGCTTGGAGCAGATGGCGCTGGCCCGGAGGAGGTACGCCGTCAGCTCTTCTCGGGTGAAGGAGCTGTTCCTAGGGGCGGGGAACCTCAGCACGACCGGCCCCTTTCTCCCAGACTCCGGAGTCCTGGCAACCCCACTCTCCCCCCCGCTTCGGAGGACCCAGCAGTTGGGAGTACTTACCCCCGGCAGGGCGGTGGGTGAAGTCCATGGCAGGCGAAGGGGAAGTTGCCTGAGAATCGCTCAAAGTCCTCCTGAGAGATGGTTCCTCGGCCTTCAGGGTCATAATTCTTGAACACAGACTTCAGAGGAGCATGGGAAGGGGAGGGTAAGGCCAAACCGTGATCCTCACAGTCTCAGATCTCGTCTTCCACGTCAGGGCTGCACAGATACCTTCCTTCCTGGCCCCCTTCTTACCTCCACCAGCTGCTCCACATGCTGACCCAGGGTGACCCTGTCAGGCTTGGGTGTCACGCCAGGGGCCCACTCCACCACCAGGGGCGCTTTGAAAGGGGAGGGTGGCTGGGGCAGGGACAGAGGGGCACAGTTAGTCAGTGCGTGGGCTGTGGCTGGTGGTCAGGGGCCGGGGGTCACTTCTCACCAGACTCTTGGGGCAGCGGGGCTCCCGGGCGTAAGAAAGCTCATAGATCTCATCCTCCGTGTAGAAGAGATCCAGGGAAAGCTGGGGGTGGGCAGGACGTTACAGACCCCTGTCCCCATCCCCCCCGCCCCCACCTTCGGCCTGCACCCTGCCGGGACCCCCACTCTCATCCTCTTCCCCAGCCCCTCTTCTCCGGGGACTCCCAGTGTCCTTGCTCCCACCGGGCCACCATTCAGCCTCCACACCTCTGTCCCCTAGTCCAGAAAGGCCATCTTCTCACTGAGGCCTTTGTGGGTCCTTTTTAAAATTGTAAACCCCTGTCACTTTCCCTGCTGGTTCCTACTTTATTATTATTATTATTTCTTAATGTTTTTTATTTATTTCTAGGAGAGAGAGAGGGAGACAGCGTGAGCAGGGGAGGGTCAGAGAGAGAGGGAGTCACAGACTGAAACAGGTTCCAGGCTCTGAGCTGGCAGTCAGCACAGAGCCCGACGCGGGGCTCGAACCCATGAACCGCGAGATCATGACCTAAGCAAAAGTTGGACGCTTAACCGACTAAGCCACCCAGGCGCCCCTTTTTATTATTATCTTTTAAATGTTTTATTTATTTTTGAGGGAGAGATAGAGACAGCGTGAGCAGGGGAGGGTCAGAGAGAGAGGGAGACACAGAATCTGAAACAGGCTCCAGGCTCTGAGCTGGCTGGCAGCAGAGAGCCCAGCACGGGGCTCGAACCCATGAACCATGAGATCATGACCTGAGCCGAAGTCAGACACTCAACAGACTGAGCCACCCAGGCGCCCCTGCTGGTTCCTACTTTAGCCTCCAGCATCGCACTTATCCTCCGAAAGACCATCTGATTTACTCACTTACTTTGTTTGATTGGCTGTCTCTCCTCTACTGGAAAGTCAGCCCCACAAGAACTGCAGGGGTTTTTGTTTGTTTATTTTTTTCTTATTTTTATTTTTTTCTGATGTGCTCACTGCTGTGAGCCTAACTGCCTAAAGTAGTGTCTGGCTCACAGCAGGTGCTCAATAAATATTTGGGCTTGCTAGCCTCCTCGAATCAGCGAAGCATAGGGCCTTGGGCTCCCACCATCTTGGGGCAAGGCCAGCTTCACAGGCGGGCCCCACACTTAGATGGGCCCCCACCTCATTTAATGCCCTGCTCTCACCGTCTTGAAATAATTAAGAAGTTTGAACAAAGAGCCCCGCATTTTCATTCTGCACTGGGCCCTGCAAATTATGTAGCTGGTCCTGTCTTAGGGTCTGCAAATCAGTCAGACTACATGGCCTTCAGAATCCCAGTCTCTCAATCTGTAGCTCCTTGGCGGGGCGGGGAGGATATATATATATATTGTTATTTATATTATAGAAATCAAATATAGCTAGGGGCGCCTGGGTGGCTTAGTCGGTTGAGCGTCCCACTTTCGCTTAGGTCATGATCTCGCGGTTCGTGGGTTCGAGCCCCGCGTCGGGCTCTGTGCTGACTGCCAGCTCAGAGCCTGGAGCCTATTTCAGAGTCTTTGTCTCCCTCTCTCTCTGACCCTCCCCCGATCACGCGCTCGCTCTCTCTCTCCTAGAAATAAATAAAAATATTTTAAAAAAATCAAATATAGCTAGAATCCCACACTCTCGGTCTCAGGATGTAGGATGGTGGTTAGCGCGTTAACACACAGGTTCTGAGGCTGACCTTGGGTTCAAATCCAGGTTTTACTGCTGTGGGACTTCACCTTGTGGACCTCAGGTTCCCAGTCTGCAGAACGGGCGTGACAAGGGTGCAGACCCTCTTGTACCCAGGACCCTAAGCCCCTGTACCCTCCAGGTGCAGTGTCCAGGCACCCGGCCTGGGTAGGGCAGGGTGGGGCGGGGCGGGGCAGCTCACCGTGAGCAGATGCAGCAGGTCCTCGTTGGCGGTGCAGGGCGGGTGCTGCCTCTGTAGGGCTGCCAGCTCCTGCAGCCGCAGGTAGAGGCTGTTGAGTTTGGGTAGGTGCAGGCGGCCGTCTGGGAACCTGTCGGGCTGGGCCTCATGCAGGGACACCAGGTCTTTGAGGTGCACGCCCAGTACAGGCAGCCGGAAGCCTGTGCACTCGGCCCAGGTGCGGCGGTAACGGGCATAGTTGTTGTGGGCAGCAAGGAGCTCAGACAGCTCCAGCAGGGCCTATGGGGGAGGGGCGTATTATGCAGGGGGAAGGATGTTATGGGGGAGGCCATTTCTGCTCCCTTAGCCACCCGCGTGAGTTCCGGACCCCTGGGGGGGTGTCCAGTGGCTTTTTGCACAGCTCCCTGAACCCCCTCCATGTCCCACACTGTCCAGCATCCCCCCAAACTGCTTTTCCTTTTGGGTCCCCATCCCAGAAAGCTCCGTATCCCCCATTCCCCAGGCTACAGGGATTTTTTTTTTTCCAAAACTGAAATCTGATCATGGGTGCCGTCATCATTACCAAACCTTCCCTAGCTGCCCATTGCCCTCTGGATAAAGCCCAGACACCTTAGTTCAGCTTGCAAGCCTCAACGGGGTCCCCCACCCTGGGCATCCCCCACCTGCCAGATCCTGACTTCAGCCACACACTAGACTCATGAGTAACTCACTCTTCCCATGCACTTCCCAGGACACGCCTCACCCATGCTCCTCCCTTGGGTGGCCTCAATTTGGTGTCCTTCAGGGCATCATTTCACTCCCCACTTGGACTGCAAGTTCTCTGTGACCATCTCTCTTATGTGTCTCCCAAAAGTCCTGCTCAGGACCGGAAGCGCGGAGTAGAGAGGGGTCAGCATGATGCGTGCGTGGTTGAGGAGGGAGGAAGAAAGGCAGAGGACAGAGTCTAGGGGTCTGTTGGATTTGGAGGAGTAAGGTCTTCGGGTGGCACCAGGCCCCCTGGGTGGGTGGGGGGGACTGGGAGCAAGCATGGGGTGGTTCAGGATCGCTGACCGCCAGAGCCCTGGGAGAACACTGGGGGTTCACCTTGGTGCTGTCAGGGCTCAGGTGAGCATGGGAGTCCTTGAGTCTGGAGATGGCACTGTGACACAGGCCCCCCGTGACCGCCATCAGTGTGTTGAAATTCTGTAGCTGGCGGAGCCTCTAGGAAGGAAGGGTGGGTGATGCAGAGATGGTGGGTATCACACAGAGGAGAGGCAAGCGGGGGTTCCCGAGACAGCATCCCGGTTGAGCTGGGGTGTCAGGCATGTGTGGGTGTGGACCAGCGTGGGCAGCAGGTGAGATGTGTCAGGCAGGAGTGGGTGTGTCAGGAAGGGGTGGGCTCAAGCAGGTATATGGGCATTCCGGGTGGGGGTGGGGTGGTCAAGCAGGTGATAGACTGATGTGCAGTCAGGGAACAGTGTGGCAAGAGGGGGGTAGTCAGGCGAGTGTGAGGAGTTGGAAAGGTTTGGGGACTAGACAGGTGTGGGGGATTCAGACAGATGTCAGGGTGCCGGGCACCTGGGGTTCAGACAGGGAGACAAGACGGCCTGGGCTCTGGGCAGGGGTTGGGAACCGGGCAGAGGTGAATGGGGCGATTGAAATGGAAGGATCAGAAGGACCTAAGAGACCAGTGTGGGGCGAGCCGGGCATCAGGGACAACCGTCTCATTCCCCTCTTTTTCAGGTTTGCAGGGCAGACGTCGCTGTGGGGAGGGGGTGGAGCCAGGGGGAGTGGAAGGAGCTCAGACGGAGGAGGCCCAGGGCAGACATTAGAACCTCCAGGCCTTAGGGGCCAGGCAGGCGGACAGGCGAAGCAAAGTGCTGGAAGACGGGAGAGGAAGGGCGTGGTCTGCGAGGAAGTACGCAAGGGGGCGTGGCCACGTGGGGGAAGGAGGCTTCCCTTTTCGCCAGAAAGGAGAGAAGGTATCTATTTAGGGAAGGGGAAGAGAGGGGTTGTGACACAGTGGGGCTGGGCCAAGGACAGACCTGACGTGATTGGGAGGGAAGTGTGCAGGCTGTCCCAAAGGGACGGCCGGGGCCTAGAGACTGAGGTGAGAGTGACGCAGACGTGGCGACATGGAAGAGACGGTTTCACTGGCCTGTGGACAGAATACTCGCGCATGGGGCTTGGGACACTGGGCTACGGGGACGTTGTCAACAGCTACGTCTAGGCCTAAGGAAGGGGGTGTCGGGGCGGGTTCGACGTGGGGTTATCAAGGCCGGGAAAGAAGTGCAGCCACAGTCCGGGTTTAGAACCTCGGGACTGGAGCCTCGGGGGCGGAGTCAGGGTGGAGGTGATGCGGGGGGGGCGGGGCCAGGCCGTGGATGACGTCACCACCCGCGCTGGTCCCCTGTGACTGAGGGCCTGCCAGCTGGAATGTGGGGGGTGTAGGGGGTCAGATAACTGCGGGCGGCGGTTGCCTCAGTCCCTGGGAGCGGGCCTCACCTGTGCCACGTGGATGAACTTGTCCAGCACCTGCGCGCGCTGTGCGGGTCCCGGACGGCTCAGCACCATGACCTGCACCCAGCGGGACACGCTGTTGCTGAGACCTACGGATCCTTCCAGGGCCGGGCAGCCCCGCACAGAGCCCTGCAAAACGTAGCCCCGCAGATCCTGGGGCTGGGGGTGAGGTGGGCATCAGGGTGGGCAGTGGTGCGGCAGCCTTGCCCTCACACGCCCATCCCCCTAGCAGCTGCGACCTCTGAGGCCCTAGTCTGGCTGTCACATGTCCTTGACGTCACCGTGGCCCTGTCTCTCTGAAGAGAAATATTTAAATAAAGTCAGGCACTGTTCTCAGCCCTTTGTTATATTAACTAATTAAATCCTCACATCAACTCTGCGAAGTGAGTACCGTAATATACTATTCACATTTTAGAGATGAGGCTGTCGAGGCACAGAGGATAATTGGCCCAGAGTCACACAGGCGACAGTCAGGGTGAGAACCCAGTCTATCGCTCCTACCTGTCTGCCCACCTGGTGTAGTCAGCAAAGGGAAGAATGGCAAAGAGGACATGAAAGCAGTTTCTATTTGTTCTGCTCAAGGGGTCAACATTCCATGCCCACATGTACTGCACAGGTGTGTGTGTGAACAATCAGGAAATTTCCAGATGAAGGAACTGGTTGTGGCCTTCCCCTGAAGTGGCGATGGCAGGAGCTAATACTTATATATACTTATATATAGGTTGAAGCATATGAAATCGTCATGTGGGCAGGTAAAATAGGGCAAAATATGGCAATTTCAAATGGTTCTACCAGATAGCATTCCCTCCGGACCGGGTACACTGACCCTATGAGGCAGGAACCATGCAATACCCCTTTTTACAGAGATGGAACTGAAGCACACGGCATGTGCATGCTTCCCAAAGAAATGAATAATTAATAAAATATTTTGAGCGCTTACTATGTGCCAGGTATTGTGACAAGCATTTTTAAGTGGTTGTTTTAACTGAATATTCCCAACCATCTAATGAGGTATTGGGACCACCATTTTACAAGTGTGAATCCCAGAGAGGCTGAGAAACGAATTCAAAGGTACACTGATACGGAGGGGCTGCTGGATTTGGACCCAGGGTTTCCGTCCTCAGCCAGCTTAACTCGTTTGACTGAACCTTCTGGCACCCATTCTGAGAGTCTGAGATCCCTGTGCAAAGCCCGTGCACGGCTCTCTGAGTCTTGCCCGGCTCCACCCCACTCCATGCCCCCCCCCCCCCCCCCCCCGGCCATCAGTCCTCAGTTTTTGTCAGCATTCAAGAGTCTCTCATGGTTTGCCTCTCTCCCTTTCCCCCACCATTTCCGCCCTTCTTCTCCCCCCCCCCCCGCTGGGGGAAGGGGGTCCTCACCGTGATGGCCTGGAAGGACCGGAACTCCAGGTAAGTGAGGTGCTGAGCCAGCTCCCCCGTCTCCAGGTGGTCGAAGAGCAAGGACACTTTGCGCTTTTTGCCGAGGCCTGGGCTGCTCAGAGGGGGCGGGGGGCCTGGGCCACCGGGGCTCAGGCTGGGGGTTAGAGAGGGGCAGGGTATTGGACGGGTTCGGTTTCGGGGTGGAGGATGTGCAGGTGAGGGGAGAGGCGGCAGAATGGGGGTGGGGAGCGGCTGACTCACAGGCTGGAGGAGTCTCCCAGGCTCCTCTGGGCAGAGTTGCCCTCCTGCTCCACGGTGGCCCAGAAGCGACCTATAACCTCTTCTAACTGAGGCTCTTGATGCACTGTCTCAGGGTGTTGGGTCAGCCAGTACCTGAGCGGGGTTTAGAGATGCGGCTGGGGGTGGGGGTGGGGAAGGTCTCTAAAAAAGGTCTCTTGGGCTGAGGAATCTCTAGGTGCTGGGCTAGGGGGTCTCTGGAAGGTGAGGGTTTGGAGAGGCACCAGCCCAGGGCTGTCTCTAGGAGTAGGAATGGGGGTCTCTTAACATGGGGTCCCTCTTAACACGGGGGGATCAGTGGAAGATAAATTGGGGGGGATCTCTCAGAGGTGGGATTGCTAGGGAGCAGGACAGTGGAGGGGGAATTAAGCTGGGGGCCTCTGAGGTGGGAAGTTTTGGGAGAACAAGGGGGGGGGGTCTTAAAAGCTAGGCTGGGGTATGCAAAAGGTGGGGGGTCGGGGGATCAGAGCTAGAGGTCCCTGGGCATCAGCTGGAAGAAGGTCTTTAGGATCTGGTAATGGGCCTCTAAGAGGTGAGGGTTCTAAGGGGCAGAACTGGGAGGGCCTGGGGAACCGAACCAGGGCTGTCGCAGAAGTGGTATTTGGGGAAGCAGGGCTTGGATCGGTGGGGAATTGGGATGGAGACTCCCTGAGAGGTGTTTTTTTTTTGGGGGGGGGGGAAGGAGGACAGTAGGGGTCCTGAGTCATGGGAGTAGAGTTCGTGACCCAGCCCTACCTGACCAGGTGACAGATCTGCAGCCGCTTCAGCTCCTGTGTGTTCCCTGTGGCCTCCTGGTACTTGAGTTCTGGTCAAGGCTCTGATATCCGGCATCCCAGACCTGCCTGTTCACCCTGTCCCCGTCCCCCAGCCTCGCCCGTCTCTGTCCTGTGCCCTCCACCCACTGCTCATGGCCCTGGGAGGATATAAGGTCAGCAGACGGGTGGCGAGGTGGGCAGAGGGCAGCACCCAGCTGTGCATGGCCAGTGCCATGTTGAGAATGTGGTCCCCGCGGCGCAGGCTGCCAGCTGAGTCTGGGGGCGGGAGAAGGGGGCTCTGTGTCAGCGTGGCTCCTGGGCAAAAGACTGCAGGCTGGTTCAGGCTCCAGCTCTACCTGTGACTCCCCGCATGAACTAGGGCAAGCGACTTAGCCTCCTTAGGGCGTCTCAGTTTCCTGGTCTGTGCTGTGCATAGACAGACCAGCACAGCACCTGGCAAGTCATGTCGCAGATGGAAATAGCCTCAGACCTCCTCTCCTCCTCCACATCTCGGGAAAAAGACATGCATGTGTTTCTCTTACCCCTAATGTAGTGGTTGAGATTCATTCCGCACACCCTTGCTCCCATTTTATGCTCCCCCCAAAACTGAGGCCTAGAGAGCGGTGGGTGTTTTACCACCTTAGGGTCAGGGAAGCTGGCCAGGGAAGGGGACACTCACCGAAGGACTGAATGCATTTCTCCAGCAGCTCATCTTCGCTGCAGCCGCCCTCATTCAGCATGCCCAGAGCCATGGAAGCCATGACCTTGCTGATTTCCCGGGGGCTGGGGCATGTCTTGTGGCGCCGGGCCTGTCGGGGCCGGCCCCGCCCCCCTGTTTTTGCTGGGCATTCCTGGTGGGACTTCCTGTGGGCACACCCCCCAGGGAATCATGGGAACCCCGTCCTTTGGGCCAGACCCTCAGAATTCTTCTTGACCCTAAAGCCCCAAGGCATTATGGGAGAAGCTCCCCAAAGGCAAACCCCCAGACAAAGCCTCCTGACCTTCCAGGACTCATGGCGGAAAACCCCCCGCAGTATTCCAGATAATTTGAGCCTTCTCTTACAGGTAAACTCTATGGATTACTCCTGCCCCCTTCAGGGAATCAGGAGAAAAGACTCTCAAGACCACCCTGAACCCCCAGGAAATCATGGGAGAAGACCCCCGGGATTACCACGGACCCTACAGGGAATCACAAGAACTCCTTCCTCCAGGCATTGGCCCCAATTCCCCTTAACTATACAGTCCTGAGGCATTACGGAGAGACTTCCTGTTGGCGACCGCTGGGATGACGTTTGACCTCCCAGAGAATCATGGGAGAAGACCACCCAGAATCATTCCTGTCCTCCCCAGGTTCTGCCTTCAGGGAGACTCCTCCGAACTGCCCTTTGCTCTGCGGCGCTGCTCCCTCCTTCCCCCAGCCCTCAGGAAAGCAGGAGACCCTGCGATCCCACCTGTCCTTCCTCCCCCATCTGGACCCCTGGACCCCGCACTAAGTGACACACCCCTCCCCCAAGACAGTCCTTTGGTAGGACCTGAGTCTTAGCCACCAGCCTGGGTCCCTGGATTCGGAGAGAAGATACAGGTGCACAGTGGCCTCACCAGGGCTCGTCAGAGCTGGGCAGGGTCCCTGGGGCTGAGGCAGCTTCAAGGAAAGTTTAAAAATAACCCTCGCTCTGCCTTGTGCCTCCCTGAGGCTCGTGTTCCAGTTGGGGAAAGAGGGTAATGGAGAGCCAGGGGTGGTGGAGGAAGGAGGCAGCAGAATCCAGGCTGGCATGGCCTTGGCTTTCACAAAACAGGGTTAGAGAAACTTATGTTGGCTGTGTGACTTTGTGCTAGTCACTTCATTTCTCTGGGCTTCGGTTTCCTCCTATGAAAAAGGAGAGTCGGCCTGGGGCCTTCCTGAGGAATGTATTATGAACATTCAATGCCTTGCTCTTCAGAAGTGCTAAATAGGGGCGCCTGGGTGGCTCAGTCGGTTGAGTGTCCAACTCCGGCTCAGGTCATGATCTCACAGTCCGTGGGTTCGAGCCCCATGTCGGGCTCTGTGCTGATGGCTCAGAGCCTGGAGCCTGCTTCAGATTCTGTTTCTCTCTCTGCCCCTCCCCCGCTCACTCTCGCTCTCAGTCTCTGTTTCTCAAAATAAAATAAAGACATTAAAAAAAAAAAAAAGAAGTGCTAAATAAGGGACTTAGTTCACTCAGGCCATTAGGTGGCAAGAGATGGGAAAGTTGAACTTGACATACAGAGAACATGATGGGGCAAACCAGAAGCCAGGCCTGGGGTCTGGGGTGAAAGCAGAAATTGGGAGACCTTCATTACAGAGGCACTGCCATGTCCCTGGGGCATCATAAGGGGTCAGGGAATCAGTATTGAATATTGTTGAGCTGGTATTTATTGAGTTCTTCATATGTTCTGGGCAGGCGCTTGAGCACCTGTTTAGGTCAGTGGGTCTTGAAGCACAGCACCTAACGGACACCTGGAAACTTGATATAAATAGAAATTCTTAGGTGCATATGATCTACAGAATCAGAAGCTTTGAGGGTGGGCCGAGCAATCTGTGTTGTTTTATTTTGTTTTGGGTTTAAAAAATTTTTTTTTTTTATTTTGGGAGCACCTGGGTGGCTCAGTTGGTTAAGCGTCCTTCTTTGGCTCAGGTCAGTGAGTGAGTTCGAGGGCTCTGTGCTGACAGCTTAGAGCTTGGAGCCTGCTTCAGATTCTTGTATCTCTCTCTCTGCCCCTCCCCTGCTCACGTTCTCTCTCTCTCTCTCTCTCTCTCTCTCCCTCACTCACACACACACACACACACACACAAATTTTTTTTAAGATTTTTTTATTTTTTAGTAATCTCTATACCCAACATGGGTCTTGAATTTGCAATTCTGAGATCAAGAGTCACATGAGCCACCGACTGAGCCAGCCAGGCGCCCAGCAATGTGTTTTAGAAGCCCTCCAGGGGGTTCTGATGCATGCTCAAGCTTGGGAACCACTAGTCTAGACTGTCTCACTGAGGACTTCTGGGAGGAAGAAACTGGGGCACAGAGCAGTTAAGTGACTTACCTAAGGTCACACAGCCAGAAAACGAAGTAGCCAGGTCTCCACCAGTAAACTGCTGGATATTATAGGGAGGGGACCCCTTTACCCATCAGAGCCATGCCAGAGGAGGCTGGAGGAGCTACCCAGGCTAAGGACCCAGCCACCATCACCCCTGTGAGGACAGGAGAGCAAGCTTGCCCAGGTGATGGGAAGCCCATTTCAGAAGTGGCCCGGCCCTTACCTGTGGACCGGCTGCTCTCTGTGGTGTCTGGAGCAGCCAGGAGTGGTTTAAGAAGCAGGGGAGCCGCCTTGCCCTGCGTCATACTCCCCTCCCCCGGGGCAGGGCCCTGCAGGAGCTTGGAGTTTCCAGTTCAGGGGCAGGGGGCAGCGAGGGAGTGACTGTGATGGGGAGCCAGGAAGACCCCAGGGAAGACAGACACAGCCAATCTAGGGAGCAGTGATGAGTGGGGGCGGGGCGGCAGGGGGTACAGAGCAGTTCAAACTCCAGAGCCGGCCCGAACAAGACCCAGATGCTCAGACAAACAGCCCTGGCCCTGGCGGCTCTGGACTCCCTGAAGCATCTTTCGCCACCTTTTGCTGAAGGAGCCCAACACCCTACAGCTTCCTTAGCACTCCCCCGCCTTCCCGCGCAGCCGGAGGCCGGGGCTTAGGGTGCTCCCCGTCTTCTTGGGGAGGGTCCTCTCACCTCTTGCTGTCTTTCCTGTTCATGCTTCCTGGTGCGGGGGAGGGGATCTTGCCAAAGTCTGGCTCAGTTCTTCCCCCTCCCCAGTGCTCCAACTTCGTAGCCCCTTGGGAGCTGAGGCCTCCTCTGGTGCTTGGGAAGGAAAGAGGAACTGCCCCTCCCCACCCAGCCCCAGGCCAGGGGGAAGGAAGAGGCTGGGGAGAGACCAAAGGCCCCCCTCCCCCCGCATGGGGATCCCTTCAGGCTGAGGTTTCCGGTGCTGCCAGCCCCCACCCCCAGTCGCCCAGCGGGCTCTCTATCTCCCCCATCTTTCTGTCTCTAGACCCGTGATTCTCTGTTCTGTCACTGTCCTACGTCAATGAGAACAGTTTTTTCTTTTTTATAAAGTAGGCCTAATAAGACACATTTAGGTAAAAACACATACCAGAAGTCTATATTTCTATAAGGACATGTTCACATAGACAATACACAAAGGTATGCATAGAAAGTCACAAGACACAAACATACTTTGTATATTTCTTCTTATGTTTCTTTTATTCCGGGTTTAGTTTTAATAAGACCACTTGTATCCCAGAAAACATTTACTTTATTACCTTTATTGTAACAAATCCTGAGGCAGCGCCTACTGTATACCACATGATGTTCTAAGGGCTTTAAAAGGCTAATTAATTTAATCGTGACACAAACTTAAAAGACTGTTATTGTGCAAAACATTATAGATGGAGGTAAACCCTCTGGGGAGCCCCTTCCTCTCTCACTGTCCCTCTTCCGCAGGGGACCCATAGCACATATTGCTGGGTTACATCTGCTCTGTGGGCTATGTATTTGTTTAGGTATAGAAATACGTGCTCATAGAAACACAGACTTTTCTTTTGAGTATGTGTGTTTTTCTTTTACTTAAATGTGTCATGCTTCACATATTTTTAAGTTGACGAACAAACAAAAGCACAGATCATAGGTGTTTAGGGTGATAGAATTGTGATAAGCCGAATGTATCTATGTGACACTCACAGAGTCAAGAAACAGAAGGTTCCGATCCTGCCTAAGCCCCATCCCAGGCCTACCTCCTGAAAATTACCACTAACCTCATTCCTTGGAGGGTAGTTTTGTGCGGGTTTGAGCTGTTGATAAAGGGAATGATTTATTGTGTCTGACTTCTTTCTTTTTTTTTTTAATGTTTTATTTATTTTTAGGAGAGAGAGAGAGAGACAGCGTGAGCAGGGGAGGGTCAGAGAGAGAGGGAGTCACAGGCTGAAACAGGCTCCAGGCTCTGAGCTGGCAGTCAGCACAGAGCCCGACGCGGGGCCTGAACCCACGGACTGCGAGATCATGACCTAAGCGAAAGTCGGACGCCCAACCGACTAAGCCACCCAGGCGCCCCTGTGTCTGACTTCTTTCATTTAATCATGTTTTTGTGATTCTTTCATGGTCTACCTGGCCGTAGTTTATTCCTTTTGGTTACCAAATCATCTTCTCTTGTGCGACGATTCCATGATGTATTGATCAGTTTCCCCATAATGGACAGCGGAGAGGCTCTGTTTGGGGCTATTGTGACTCAGGCTACTGGGAACATTCTCGCACCTGTCTTTTGTTGCACGTTAAAGGGCGCAGTTCTGTAGGTACATACCCAGGAGTGGAATAAATGGGTCAGGATAATTAATTTGCTTCTGCCATAACTAGGATGTTAGTCAATTCAACCAAAGCTCTCTGAGAAGTATAGTTTTACTCCTTTCTTTCTTTCACTAAAAGAAGTCACCATGGATTTTTTTTTTCCATGCCAGAACATTTAGACAATCACAGAGCTCATTCTGTTTAGCTTTTCCTTGGGACTGTATGGTCCCAGGCCATCTCTCTCTCTCTTCTTCTCCCTATTCCTTTATACCCCTCCCCCCCAGTTTCAAGCAGTGCCATCCATGTTGTGCTGTCCGTCTGTCTCTCGGCCCATCTCCCTAGTACCTGCAAGGTGAGGTGATGTAACGCTGTTGGCTAAGTCGAACTTGAGGTGTCTCCAAGCCCCTTCCCCCGCCCCCAGAAGGCTGGGGAAGATCTGTAACGGCCCTGGCAGAGCGCCACCCTCAAGGCCTGCAGGGATGGTTAAAACCAACACTAACACCATCAACCACAAAGGAAAAGACTTCTGAAGCAAACCACAAAAACTCATAAGGCAGAAAAAGGATGCATTTGATAATGTCCAAATAAGGATTTCTCTTAATGAAGACACCATGGGACAAATATGCAATGAGATGGCAGAGTGGGACAAAGTATTTAGAATGTTTAAAATCAATAGGAGGGGGGGTGCCTGGGTAGTTTAGCCGGTTAAGCGTCCACTTTCGCTTAGGTCATGATCTCGCGGTTCGTGGGCTCGAGCCCCATGTCGAGCTCTGTGCTGACAGCCATTTCAGAGCCTGGAGACTGTTTCGGAGTCTGTGACTCCCTCTCTCTCTCTGACCCTCCCCTGCTCACGCTCTCTCTCTCTCTCTCTCTCCTAGAAATAAATAAAACATTAAAAAAAAATCAATAGGAGGGGCACCTGGGTGGCTCAGCAGGTTAGGTGTCTGACATCGGCTTGGGTCATGATTTCACGGTTTGTGAGTTCAAGCCGTATGTCAGGCTCTGTGCTGACAGCTCAGAGCCTGCTTCTGATCCTCTGTCTCCCTCTGTCTCTGCCCGTAATTCATTGGTGCACATGTGTTCTCTCTCTTTCTGTCTCAAATAAAAACAAACACAGGGGCGCCTGGGTGGCTCAGTCAATTAAGCAGCCAACTTTGGCTCAGGTCATGATCTCACAGTTCATGGGTTCCAGCCCTGCCTTGGGCTCTTTGCTGACAGCTCAGAGCCTGGAGCCTGCTTCAGATTCTGTGTCTCCCTCTCTCTCTGCCCCTCCCCTGCTCTCTCTCTGTCTCTGTCTCTCTCTCTCTCAAAAATAAATAAACATTGAAAAGAACCTCAAATATAAATAAACATCAAAGAAAAAATTTTAAATCAGTGGGAAATGAATCTTGAGCATGTGAACGTCACAGCTGCAAATCCGCAAGAAAAACAGCAGCTCTGATCGAAAAATGGGCCAAGAGTTTGAGCAAGTGACGAGGAAACCAGGCACCTGAGAGGATGCTAGAAATTCTTGGTAACTGATCAAGGAAGTGCGAATTAAAACAACAGTGAGTCATCCCATTGGTCTGGCAAAGATTGGAAGTTGGAAAACGCCTGCCTACCGGAGGGCAGGGCTGTATGTGGGGACCTTGGAGCTCTGGTGTGAGCAGCCGTTCCCAAGGGCCACTTGGTGCTATTTAGTCAAATCTGGCGTGCGCTTGTAGCTACTACCTCAGCTATTAGCTCCTGGGTGTGCGTACCAGGAAATTCTTCCTCAGTCCCATCAGGGGACACGTGAGGATCCTATATGAGTTAGGGGCAGCCTGGGCGTCACCCGAAGAGGGCAGTCGCCAAGGAGCTCTGTAAAGCCTTCGTGGTCCCAGAACAGGTGTCCGTAGAGCTACATGGGTAGGTCTTAAAACACAGCATGATGACTGACAAAAAAAAAAAAAAGAAACACTATTAATATCTTATGATATAATGCACAATGACACAGAATAATTTTGTTGTGTATAAAATTCTAAGGAAAAGCTTCATATTTAATATACAAGTGTATATTCTAATATTCTATAATGTATAATAACCATATAATTATATTGGACTGTGTGATTATATTAGCTCAAATATATAATTATATAATTATGTCTTATATAATTCAAGAATATGGTACAAACTTTTTGCTATGTAGGATGATGGCATCGACATTTCAATATTTAACTAACACATAACAACCTGTACGCACTTAACGTTTTATGTATAATTTAATTGAGCTGTAAGGTATTTTTTTTAATGTTTATTTATTTTTGAGAGAGAGAGAGAGAGAGAGAGAGAGAGACAGAATGTGAGTTGGGGAGGGGCAGAGAGAGAGGGAGACACAGAATCCGAAGCAAGTTCCAGGCTCTGAGCTGTCAGCACAGAGCCCAACACAGGGCTCGAACTCATGCACTGTGAGATCACGACCCGCACTAAAGTCGGACGCTCAACTGAGTGTCTGGTGCTGAGCTACTCAGGCGCCCCCAAGGTGTTGTTTTGTATAACTTAATAGATACTATTACGTGTTAACAATAATTTTAGTCTTATCAATAAGTTACCTGTATCAGTAAGTTACTATGTCATAGGCTCTAAAAGGTTCACCCCCCCTTTTTTTTTACATTTTTAAAAAATGTTCTATTTATTTTTGAGAAAGAGAGAGAGACAGCGTGAGCAGGGGATGATCAGAGAGAGAGGGAGACACAGAATCTGAAACAGGCTCCAGGCTCTGAGCTGTCAGCACAGAGCCTGACGCGGGGCTCAAACCCACGAACCATGAGATCATGACCTGAGCTGAAGTCGGATGCTTAACCGACTGAGCCACCCAGGTGCCCATGACCCTCAGTGGTGGGGAATATTCCAAATTAGCCCAGCTGACAGATGAGGAAACTGAGGCCCAGAGGCACAAGCTGCATGACTGGCAGGAGGCCCAGGTGTGTATGGTACCCTGGACTGGGCCTTCAGGGCCCACAGCTGCCTGTTTTAGAGAGCTGCAGAGGCCCTCCACCCACTCCCCAGAGCCTGTGGGGACCCAGAGAAGACAGTGCCCCCTCTAGGCCCAGATGGGCCAGGAGCAAGAAGGAGCTGGTTACCCCAAGGCTCCCCTGTTTACAAAGCCAGGTGAGCTCAGCTGCATAAAGGGGTGGCCCAGCTAGTGGCCGTCAGTGGCTCAGGCCGCCTATGGGAAGGAGGGTTAGACCTTGGGAGTGGCCCTGAGGACTTAAGTTTTTGTTATAATGAGGAGCTTTTATGCAAGTATCAAGGCAATAAAGTGGACCGTTAAGAACCCTAGCTCTGGGTTCAGACCCTTTGCTCAGCCCCTGTGTGACCCCAGGCAAGTCACTCCACCTCTCTGTGCTCAGCTTGTCTCATCTGTAAAATGGACACCACAGGCTACTGACTTCTCAAGATTGTTGTGAGAACTACACCATTCATTCTAGTTGTGTCTTTAAAATTATACATGGCGAGGACCATGCGTCTTGGTTTCCTCCTCCAAATAATGTGAATAATAGCAGGATTGGTG